ATAACCAGCAAAAATGAATGTCATGGATTGAGATAGAATCTCATGGTCATTTAAACCTGTAGAAAACAACAGAGTTAAATGGTTCACAAAAGCAAGTTGTGTAGCGTGTGTGAATTTACTTGTGTTGAAGTGTGCCTCACTTTTTTCCTGTTGCACCTCACTGTTCTTTTGGGAATCAATCATCAGTTGTAGAAAATCTATCCGACTCTAGAAGTAAACCAGGGAAGGTCAGGTCACGTTCTAAAGCCTGCTAGGACAAAGATATCCTAATACTGGAAAAGAACGTCGTCCTTGACTCTACCTTGTCTTTGCTGCCTTCACGGTTAGCTTTGATCTTTCTCAGAGAAGCATAGAAGAAGTCGGTCACAGATGCAGGAAAAAAAGAAAATTCAAACTTTTCAAGTACGGGACCGAGAAAGGGGAAAAACGCTGAAATTAAAGAAACAAAAACATCTTTTAGTAGTGGAATAGGAAGGTCAGGAACTATTTTGGCTGTTTTAGTTTGGAATTTGTGAAAAATGAATTCTGAATAACAAATAAAAGCATGACATAATTAGATAAAAGTACAGCAAACACTATTTTTAGATTAAATTAAAAAACAACATTTTTAAGTGTCCTTTTCATTTTTATTTTTTTACGATACGAGAGTTCTGTTTTTTTTATTCTATTCAGTCCATTTATGTTTACAAAAATATTTGCTAAAGCCTAAGCTGAGGCTAACTTTATGTGCTCTCAGTTGCTTTTATTGCATGCAACCTTTTCATACCACTGTAAGGCCAAGAGATAAAAGGCTATATTACCAGGGAGACACTATCACAGCTGCTGCTATGTCTGATTTATTTGTGTTCAAACAAGGAAAACATTATTTTTTTAGCCTTATCCTTTTTTTGAAAAACCATTAAGAAAATAATTATATTCTTTCAGAAAACCTATGAGACACCTCAGATATTATTTATCAACATCTTTACTATAACTGCAGCAAATAAAAGCTGAATTGGTTGAAGCATCTCTGACCAATTTTAGTTTTAATGGGGCATAATGCCAGGCAGAGCTAACAATTTGTCACAATGCTAAAACTGTGACTTAGTGCTTTAGCCTTATAAAAGGAAATCTGGTAGGATAAAGGTTTCCATTATAGCACTTTGATAATGAGCCTTACAGACTTTAATCCAAGTCAACTACTGTGTAGTCTTTCCTTTGCTCTCTGCTGTGCAGATATATATTTTTTATATCTAAAGGAAACATAATCCAGGATATTACAACTTTTTTATTCTCTTTTTGTTCTATATATACTCTTTTTATATTGTCTGTTGTATTTTTTATCCTTAATGACATTTTGCTTTAACTCTGCCCTTGTGCTCTCTATAAGCTACTGGAACCAGAATTTCCCTAAAGGAGTAATACCAAGGGATAAATGAAGTTGGGTCTAAGTCTGAGTCTACAGTGATGCACAAACACTATATAGATATTCTTAGGAGGTTGTTATTCTCCACACTTATGAAAGTTTTTCTTCAGTCTTTTGGTACTCTTCAATTGAATTACAATATTTCGAAATATAACTTCACAAATGTCAAACATTGTTGTAAGACTCAAAGGAGAACTTTACCGACTGCGAGGAAGAGGGGGTTTAAAAAGTCAAACTTCAACATCTTCTTGATATTTGTCACAAACGGGTCGGCTGGGTTGTTCAGGGAGTCGATGTCTACACTGAAGGC